GGGAAAGAGATTATTTTTCTATGAAGAACTAGGCCTACTTGTATTTCTTCCCACAAATTTGGTGATGTTACGGGTGTCTGGAGGAGGGAGTTTGTTCATGACATCTCTTTTCCCTCCTGGTTCATCCCCTGGACAGATCGTCCATAGTCACTGACAGCTCTTGACAGAACTTTCTGTCCAATACTTACACACTTCAGCAACACAAAGAAAGGTCATTGAATACCTCAATTGGAATGGTTCTTGGCTTTTCCTGTGGTGGCAGAAGCTGAGGCCTGCTTGGCAAGGATTTATGAATAAAACTTTCCTAATTATAGACTTCCATGTTCTTTGGCTATATTTGCTTGTATTGAGTTCAACCCATGGTTATGTCTTTTTCCTAGGCTGGCAAAATACTAACTCCACGAACGTAAACACTGTGGGATATGGTGGGAGTGTCTTGGTGCTCTTGCTGCTTTTCCTCTGTGTTGGTTGGGACCTTGTGTGTCCTCCAAGGCAGGGGCAGGAAAACCTAGGATTAACCTCTTCACTTCCTGTGGCTCCCCTTACCCTTTTTACTCCAATATCATGCTTTTCTTTCCTCTTTATTGATCTCAAGGGTGGCTGTTGACCTCCCTGCCTGCTTACGCTTGTCTCCGTCCCTCCCTGTCTGCAACCTCTTTCCACCTTCAGCCAACTCCACTTCTGGGGTGATGACTAGGGCAAGGCGCATGAGCCCATCTTCCAGCTGAAGACGACTCTCAAAGCACTGATTTGTGTCAAGGGTGAATTACTGCTTTTCAACAACAGACACCAGGCAAAACAGAAGGAAACAGGAATTGACTTTCCCCATATCTCTGTGGCACCATTCCCAACGCACAGTCCCCCATCCTGCCTAAAACCTTTCACCGGTGGTTGATAAGGGTTTGAGACTTTGTTACTAAATACTTTGTAATAACAATTAGTTGTTACTCCATTAGCTCTGCCTGTGATTTACGATAGCCAAAAGGTATCAGTTATTAGCCTTCTTGGAGTGATATGGGTATGGCTGCTTCTTGCAAATTTTCTACATTAATAATGCTCTGTTGTATTCAATAGGCCAACTTTGCTTGTTTGTTTTTTTTTTTAATTAGGGATGAGATTTAGCTTGACACAGTAACCATTTACAATAGATGATTGTCTCAATGTGTTTTCTGACTTGCTTTACATATAAACTTAGGACAAAAACAAGCCTGCAAGTCTTGTTTTACGTATAGTCTTCTGACCTGATTTTTGTCTGAGGTATTAATGACAATAAATCCAGTGGTGGCTTGCTGGGAAATGGAAATACTTCATTGTTTTTTGTTTTTTTGGGGCTGACCTGAAAAAATAAATATTTTCCTGCCAGTGTGGTGTGGTGAGTCAGACAAGAAATCTTTTTACTTCACTGTGATGACACCTCAAACATTTGTTTACTTTCCAGTCTTTATAGAGACATTGACTGAAAACTTACTTTTGCTTTCTCAACAATGTACTAGATTTCTCTGAAATTATAAAGAAAATCCTAACCAGGGTTGTTTTTGTTCATGGGGTTTTTTTAATTCTTTCAGGGGCTCAAAGACATGAAGTAGCCTTAATGAATGGGCTAACTGTTAACTTGCACCTCCAGATGGTATGTCTTTATGATGTTTATTTGATGTTGTGTTGACAAATACCTTTTCCTTTCTTTATGAATGTAAGCAAAAAGACTTGGTTCAGCTGAATGAAGATGTGAAGCTTCATTTTGTGAGGTTCACACAAAAAAATTTATCACACGTATCCACTCCTCTATAACACGTTTCTGACCTTTGTTAAATTAAGAAACCTGAAGCAGGGCAGGATGGGGCCAAGCACAAGCCAATTTTCCTGGCTGCTCTGCCCTGAATTAGGTGCAACACAGCCAGACTTGTGCCAAACTTCTTGAGTACACAGGCCATGCTGAGCTCTGTGTGACCACTGCTAGCATGAACAGGAGGGCTTGTAAGTCTTCTCCTAGACCTATCGGCATGGTGGCAAGCCCAATTTGGCTCCACTTGAGGACCTGAGAAGGAAAGACCATTCAGCTAAAGGCGCTGAGATGAAATCTTTGCAGAAGGCTTAGTCTCTTGGTCAGGCTTGTTTCAGAGGAGGGGATGATTTGATAACTAGTGTTTTAGGGCAGGAATGGAAATCCAGTTCCTTTGCACTGTTTGCCACTCTTCAAGCACTGCTTTTGCTTGCGGGATGGAGCTGGGTGAAATCCCAGCTTTCCTGGCCACAGTCAAAGCTTTGCCATCTATTCCTGTGAGTGCAAGTTTTCACTGTTGGAATTTTGTGGCCTTTGTTATGGATATATGAAATACGGTATTACAATGCTTTCCTACTTTGATAAATGTTAAATGGACGAAGAGGTATTTGTAATTTCTGGGGGATTCTCTGTAGTCTGCAAGAAGTAAAGCAGTCTTTATTAAGTTATGTACTGGGAGCATCTCTCTCATCTCTGCTTAGATACATTTTAACTTTTTTTTTTTTCTTAACAGCTATCTTTCTTTAAGCCTACTCCAAGACGCTATAAAATTCTTCTAGAAGCCAGAGCTTTTCCCTCTGACCATGTAAGAAATTAATATTTCACTATATTTATATTATTAATCATATCTTTTCAAAGAATATCAGTAGTCTGATTTGAATATTTATTAGCTCATCTTGTCCAAGTAACGTTATAATAAAAAAAAAAAAATCTGTCAGGAGCTTTTGAGCTCAGCATATTTTACAGATCGTAGCTTTATTCCTTTTGTTCAAATAAAAAACGTTACAAGAGGAAAAGATTGAATGGGTACATTGATTTATTAGTCTTTTTAAAGACATTGAGCAAACTACTGGCCTAAATCAACTGAAGTTGTAAATGTTTTATTAATTCTTGTTGCTGTTTTACTTTATGAAACCAAATCAATACAAACTCACAACATTAACACTTATATATCCCCAGACAGAGATGGAAATGTTTGTTCTTAGCACTTTAGATTACTAGTTCAAACAGAATTTGTCTGCTATAAAATAGGAGACAATAGCCCGTGAATCACAGCTTAGAGCAAATTAATCTTTGGGATTGTGGCCCACTGCTACTTTATCATCAACTCTGTAAACTCGTGGAAATTGATAACAAATTTGTTCTCTGAGGTGTGATAAAAATGACTCAAGCTACTAACAGGTTTATTTGTAACGAAGATGGTGGCACAGATGTATAAACGTCAAATTGCCTTTATTCTGGGTAATGTTCATACTAATCCCGCGTTTGTTCCGGGCACACTTGTACATTTGGACTCCATCATCTTAAATTTCTACGGCACTTCAGTAATAACCTGTGCAACTGCCATCACTTGAGTTCCCGTCATGTAATTTTAAACTATTTTATAGTATTATTTGCTGATTTTTTTTATGCTATCTCCGGCACCATTATTTATTGATAAAATCAGTGGGTAGGATTTTCAAAATTGCCTGAGAGTGTAGAGCTCTCATTTCTTCCCAGCTATGCGGCAAATCTAAGACGTGAGAAGAGCATGGGACAGCGTATATGGGTTGGCCAAACCTCGTTGGCATTGACAGCAGTGCGTACGTGACAGCCTGGCATTTAGTATGTGCCACCAAGCAAAGTGGGTACCCAGGGCCCCGGAGCGGCGATGTTCAGTCTTCTTCCCTGGCTGTTACCCTTGCAGGCTTTGCTTGCTGACCTGCGGTAAAGCGCGAACTGCACCACGCTTCCACCCTCATTCTGCTCCATAAACTTATCCTGTAGGATTTTGGCTTTGACTTTTTCTTTGCTGGCTGATGTAAATTAAATTCTGATCTTTTTCAAACCAAAGGGAAATCGATGACATTTTCAGTTGGATTAGGCTTTCAAGCATTAATGTTAGTGAAAGGCAGGCATCTGAATCCCTTTTCTGAAGTTCTGGTGTGTTTTTCTTTTAGTTGTCTTATCGTGTAATTGCACTAATGTGCTCTGCATGGAAATCTCTTCTAGTATGCTGTTGAGTCCCAACTGCGTCTTCACGGACTTGATGTGGAGAAATGCATGCTCATGATGCAGCCACGGCAGGTTGGTGAGATAGATGTCGGTTCTGCTTGCTGTCACTAAGGGCAGAAACATGTTTCGTAGGAGAGTAGTCACACGTTCCCAAATACTCTAGCATCTGCCCACAGAAGTTATAATACGTTTCTACTAATACTTTTAGGTAAAATTTATGAATTGCGCATTCTGTTTCTGTGTATATTTTTTTTTATTAGAACCCATTTTGTAACTGTCTCGTTCAAGAAGTTCATTTTCCTTAAAGAACAAAAAATGTTATTTTCCCGATTTTTTCCTGTTTGCAAAAACTGACAGCATCCTGAGACAACTACGAAATATAGTAGCGCATTCAGAAACCCCAATGTCCTTTTAATGTCCCAAGGTAAAAGATGCCAGAACATGAACACCACTGCGTCTGTATCAACACAGAGTCAGGGAAAGTTCTGCTTTGAGTAATATGCAATTCAGATTAATTTGAAAGCCAGCCTTTCTTCACTTTCGCGGTACTAAGAACTTTGCCATCTAACTATAAACTGATGGTGACCTTGTGCTTCTGAAATCTGAGTCATCTTGTGAGTAAAGAGCCCACTCCTGAAGGCTTGATAGATTTGCAAAGATTGTTGAGATAATAACAGTTACTTGCAATTCAACAATCTTGCCCATGCTCTTTTCAGTAACGAGTCTAATTTAATTCTAGGTTTCCACTGCCTAATTGATCCCTAGGTGGTGGTATATTTTACATGATCCCTTGCTAGCAAGACAGGAGGAGGACGGGGCAGTAATTTTCCTATAAAGAATCAAGAATGAGGTTTTTTGGTTTTTGGTTGAAATTCCTCTATAGTTAATGACCCCAGGTTTGGGGATTTTTGTACTTTTGAAGATGTGAGACTTATAGTTTATGAAATATAAATATGGCAGGTTTATAATAGCTTCCTGTGGGATACAAAGTTTATCAGAAAAGTACAGAGTGAAACTGATAGAAAATTTTCAAGTCTTGTGGGCGTCACAAATTTCAGATGCCACATAAAATCATTATATATGCTGTTTGCAGCAGGATTTTTTTTACTGTAAATTAAAAGTCTCTGAAATATTAAAGAATAGGAAGCATGCTAGAATATTAAATGAATAGACTTTTTATAACTGGCATCTTCATGATAAGTTTGCTAAGGATTTTTTTTTTGTTTTGTTTGAGGTAACTTACTCATAGGCTACTTCATAGCACTACCTTTGTATATCATTACTATGCTAAGGATTTGCTTTTGATCTCCTTATGCAAGCAGCATGGCTCATGGTAAAATATAGATTATGAAATAAGAAATGACAGTTTCATTACTGCCAGAGTTGATGTAAAATGTGTGCTTTAACTCTGTTTTAGGGGGAGGAGACCTTGAGGATTGAAGATATCCTTGCTGTAATTGAGAAGGAAGGGGACTCTATTGCTGTCATTCTGTTCAGTGGGGTGCAGTACTACACGGGACAGCTGTTTGACATCCCTAGAATAACAAAGGCTGGCCAAGAAAAGGTAGGATTGCTCCAGGCCCATCCTTTTAACACCAATTTTAGATTAAAAATGTTTCACAAGGAAAATTAGTTTCTACTTTTCATGGAACAAAACAGAGCATGTGTGGAGACCTGTGATGCTCTGATAAAAAGTAAAAGCACCCTGTGCCCAGAGCTGCTGGGGGCTGTGTGCTTCATGACGAAATTGCTTTCACAGGGCTATCTTGCAGGTGTGACTTAAGCTATATGGAGAGATAATTCATTACTATTAACTTCTACTGGGCTTGTTTTGAAGGATAGAATTTCAAGAGGTTCAGTGGAGAAGGAGGAGGAGGAAATCACAGCTCCAATCTCTCTCTCTCTCTTTAAAAGTTAGTTTGCATTAGATTTCTGCTTTTTGGCAGACTCACAGTTTTCCTCCGTTCCTGCAGCCACGCAATGGCAGGTTTTGCCCCCAGTGAGCATGGAGGTGAGCTGCCCATGGAGCCAGCAGTGTTTCAACTCGGCTGATCGGTTTTCCGGAGACAGGCATAACGTGGAGCACCTCAACATCACAAGACGACTGTATTTTAGTGATGATTCAGCCTTCGGAGCTTGCAGGCAGCGTGCTCCATGGACATAGCTGTAAAACTTCTTTAACCATCTCGATTGCCTCAGGAATCCAGGAGAAAATAGTTTTTAATTAAGTCTTCTTATCAATAAGAGGTCACCAGACTTTCTGTAGGGGCAGTCTTTTACTGGATGTGCCTTATCTTATATAGGATTAAACCACTCAAGGATAAACTTATTTAATATCACTGGATTTTGGCAAACCAGCTAACTATTTCTATTTGATGTTTTAACTCTCTGGAGAGCTTCCTGGCTCACATCAGGCTATACATCTTCTTGTTGCTGTAGGTTTGGCAGTGGAAATTTTTCCGGAGGTCAGGGAGTAAGTTATGCTGCTGGAAAGTGGTGGTAAAATCTCCCCTGGGAGAGCACAGCAGGTGTGAGAGCTACTGCAGGGCCCGTGGGATATAAAAAGGGAATGTTCTCACAGAGCAGCACCTGGCGACAAAATTGGTCCTGATCGCAGTACAAAACAAGACTGGCTTCTGACATGAATGCAGAAAGCCAAGGAAGAAAGAAACGGAGGGAGTCAGCCGCAGGGGGAGATGGGTCTGTGCGTTGGCTCCACGTGCCTCTAAAAGCAACAGCCTCATGGTGCCTTCCTTGTATCTTCCAGCACTTTGCTGACCGCACATAATCAAAAGGCTACGCAGAAGTGCTTGGAAGGGAAGGTGGGTCATTAACAGGATGACTCCAGCCACTGCTCTGCTTGCTCTCATTCCTGGTGGCAGCGAAGCTTTCGTTCGGCCGCCAATGCCTACGTGCCTACGGTGCTGCTGCCCGGAAATCTGCTCCGTGATGTGTCTGAAAGGTGTCCAAGAGAGAAACCTTTCTTCTCTACTGTAAATACGAAGAACCTGCGAAAAGCCTATCAGTTTACTGCCTCTCTAAAGATATTCTCTGGATTGTGGGACACATGCTTGGATGAGTGGGAGCGATGCAGTTTCACTGAAAGCTATGAACTACCCCAAAGTGGCTAAGAACCTATGTTCTGGGGAAAAGTAGTCACTGATAGCCCATTACATAGAGGAAAAATGGATTTGATGTTTGTATTATCTGAGGAGATAACCAGGACTTGGTGGAGAGAGCTTAAAATATCTATAAGGCGGTGCAAATAATAACATTGACTTGAGGGAGTGTGCTTCCGCACGGATGTACACAAAACCACCACACGCTTACAGAGACTATATCACGCTACTGAAGAGGAGAGCAATTTCTGACAGCAGTTAGTACTCCATCAGGCACGGATAGATACCAAAGGCCCGCTTCCACCCGCATGCCTGTTAAAAATACCATAACTTAGAAGTGAATCTCTTCTTCCAGAGTTTTTTCAAAATGGAGGGAAAAAAAATAATTGTCAGCCTCTGTGTGGCTAGAGCATGTAGGACTGGGATCTAGGTAGATTCATGACCTAAAATTTTATTAGTGTGTATAAAAAGAAAAAGTAATTCAGCCTGAAGAACTGCTTGAGTACCCATAAGGCTTGGAAAGCATGAGCCAGCCCTGTTTTTATTTCCCTGCTGTCAGATACGCTCAGCTCAATGTCCTTAAGGATTCTGCTCCTGAGCTAAGTGATGTTTGTATGTTTATTCAAACCACTATGTAACGTACTGTTACACCACACTTAAACATCTGCATATAGCAAATATTTACTTGAACAGCTACGAAATCAGGGATTCTTGAAGAGTTTGCTGTCTTAATATTGATAAGAGGTATTCCTGTATCCTGCTGCCTGTCTTTGGTCTCAGGGCTTCTGGTTACCAGAAAGCCCAAAATGTTGTCTCTTCAAAAGCAATTGGTTCCTCTCCTGTGTTCCCAGTTCAGAGCTGATGTTAGAAGCTGCCATAGGGT